ATGGATTTTAATGAAACTTCGCATGCTGTTAGGCAAGAGATGATTATTATATATTTTTTTCAAAGTGGTAATTCAATTCGATCTGATAGAAATCAACAAAAAAATAATTTATTTGCATTTTTTTAATATTTTTATTTAGGCTTGGCTCATGGAAATTTATATAAAATAAACTGTAAAATATACCATAAACACTGGAATTGGTTTTATTTTTCTAGATTTAAAATCAACAGAGATATATCACTTTGAAAAAAAGTCGTCTCCGGACACTTTTTTTCAAATAGCTTCTCAATTAACTAAGATATAGAGCTAATATCTACTCGATGAACTACTATTAGTACCCTCTACAATATAACATAGGTTACGATATAGGTTCCTATCGGGGGCAGTTTGCCTATGGAAGGACGGCTAAACCCTTTTTGCACAACTTTTGGGATCAAGTTAGTATATATTGACAGAGTTGATTTTTATATATACATTTTCACGATGACTTTCACATTGTCTATAACTGGCAAAAGTTCCATATTAACCACGAACTACTCACCAACTTTAAATCTGAATGGTGATTATGAATGTGCATTATTGCAATATCTACTTTTAATTCTATACCGAATATCACTAAAGCTAATAACAAATTTCATTATGGTACTAATGAAGTGGTCGAGATTCCTGAAGGAGCTTATGAACTACAAGATATTTACGATTTTTTAAAGTTTGAAGTAAAAGATTGTGATTTAAAGTTATATTGCAATAACAATACATTTAAGACAACTATATTCTGTACTAAAGATATTCATTTTGAAAAACACGATTCTTTTAGAGAATTGCTGGGTTATAGTAAGGAAGTCCTAAAAAGTCATATATTACATGAGTCACTTCTTCCCGTCAACATTTTATCAACGACTGTGGTGAGAATCGAATGTGATATCATAAGCGGGTCGTATATAAACGGTGAACTAAGTCATATACTACATGAGTTTGCACCCACGGTACCTCCGGGTTATAGAATAATAGAAATACCAAAGAATACTATATATTTTCCAGTAAACAGAGATAGTATCAATAGTATCACCATAAGAATACTAGATATATATAATAATCCTGTTGACCTTCGAGGAGAAGAAGTGAATTTATACTTACATATAAAGAAACATGATTGATTAGAATAAAAACGTATCATCTCATAGTCACAAGTTTAGTGGTATTCGATCACTTCGCAAGAACACACATTCTTCTGCTAATATTAAACTAACTCCACAAAATAAAGCATTTTTGAAATTGATTGGATTGTTAAAATGAATATTCTAAATATTACAAATCCGCATGCATATGACAATTCTATAGAGTGCATAGAAACTCATTCTTATAAACCATACATAACAAGTTTCAATAGAAATGATGAAATAAGAATACCGATAAATCAACAAGACTTATATGTGCTTCCAAGTGCAAGCACCTTGTATATTGAAGGAGTGGTAAATGTGATCAAATTTGGAGATAAGGGTACAAAAGAAAGAGTGCCTTCTTTTCATTTTACTAATAATGCGTTGATGTACTTGTTTCAAGACATACGTTATGAGTTAAACGGCGTTGAAATAGATAAAGTGAAAAATGCTGGTATAACAACTACTATGAAATCTTTACTCTCCATGAATGAAACTGAATCGAAGATATCTGAAGTCTGGGGTTGGAATATACAGGGTTTAAAAAATACCATCGGTGGTCACTTCTCTGTATCAATACCACTAAGTAACATACTAGGATTTGCTGAAGATTATAAAAAGGTTATAGCAAATTGTAAACATGAGCTTGTTCTATTACGAAACAATACAAACCTCAATGCTTTAAAACTTAATAACGATGAAGTAATAGATAGTACTGATATACATAAAATAATTTGGCGTGTTCCTCATGTCAAAGTATCTGACAGAGAAAAAATCAATTTACTCAAAATTCTGGAAAAAGATAAACCAATTCAATTGACGTTTCGGAACCGGGATCTTTACGAATACCCAATGCTACCAAAGACCACTAAACATAAATGGTCAATTAAAACTTCTACTCAGATTGAAAAACCTAGGTATGTTATTCTCGGCTTGCAAACTAATAGAAAAAATAATGGATCAAAAGATATGTCCCAATTTAATCATTGTAATCTACGTGATGTTAAGGTTTATTTAAATTCTATTTATTACCCTTATGAAAGCTATAATACCGACTTTGCAAAGCACAACTATGCCTTAATATATGAACAATTCGCAAATTTTCAGCAGTCTTATTATTCGCGTAAATCGAGTTGTTTATTAAGTGCTCAAGAATTTAGAGAATATGCACCATTATTTGTAATCGATTGTTCAAGGCAGAACGATAATATAAAAACAGGACCCGTTATTAACATTCGCTTAGAATTAGAGAGCCATAAGGAGATACCGGACCAGACATCAGCATATTGTTTGATTTTAAACGATTGCATAGTCGAATATAAACCTCTTAGTAATATAGTTCGTAAAATATCATGACTTCTACTGTTTTTGTCGATATTCAAGGATTTAAAGATTATCAAAATAAGTTCATTTTAAAAGAATTAGCATTGTCGACGAAGGATATTTCTCAGGTTTTCTTAGTAAAACCACCCTACCCGTATTCAAAGTTAACCGTGGATGAAAAAAAGAAAGTGAGATGGATTGAACGAAATAGAGGTATCATGTGGAGTGAAGGAAATATTGACTACAGAGAATTCAAAAGACTTATCATTCCAATTTTACAAAACAAAACTATAATCATTGAAAGGATTAGAGAAACAGAAATGGATAAAGGAATTGTGTGAAAACTGTTTTTTGGTAAATATTGAAGAAAAAGGTAGTCCTAATTTTTTAGATCTGTATAAAACATATTGTAAGTGTGAATCTAATTTTAATTGTTTAGACCATAAAAAAGAATGTGCGCTTAAAAAATGTTATCTGTATTAAGAAGTGGTATTTAAATAATTGTATGTAATAATGTTTAATAAAATGAAATATATAAGAAAAAGTGTATTATTTTAAATTAAAACCTTACTATTATTTTGCATATCTGTACCATTTTCGAGTCAATGGTGACTAGGAAATTTCGTAAGCATCCGTTGATGCCACTACGACAACTTTAATCTTAAAAATTATGAAAATGTCAAATTGATTAAATAAAACAAAGAAAATATATTTTAGGGTTTATATTTCAAAATAATATAAAATATAAAACTAACTACTACTAAATCTAATAATTTACCTAAAATTTATTGTCACATATTTTCTTACTTATATTTCTAATTAATTGTTCCGTTTGTTCCATAATTGGATCATAATGATCAGCCACTACATACTGACTGCTGTACAGTATTTTTTCGTTGTCACTTTCACTTTTCACTATACTACTGTTTTCCAAGTCAACAATCTCCACTTTGATGAGTCGAAAACCTCGTTTAGGTTCATTAGTGTAAATATAGGATCCCACACTATGTACGTTCGATCTTTTCGGAGGCACCACTGCACATTCTTCTTGAGCTCCACGTTTTCCCCTTTTCTTCTTTGGCTCTCGTTGAAGCTTAGCCAACTCTGGGAACATTTCGTCAAAACCAGCAAGAGGATCCTGAGCATTTTGCTCAAACAAACTGCATGAATTAATTTCGTTTTCCATTTGTAATTTAACTTAACATCGTGTTGATATCACAATGACCAATTGTGGAATGTTTCAGAAACCACATAATTTGCCAATAAGGTGATGTACCTACTGACAGTACAATAATGCTGACTTAATAATGAAATCAAGTTCATGTAGCAAAGCATATTCAGCAATATTTATTTCCTGCAGTTATACCTACAACCTTGATTTGATTTTAAACACATGCATCTATTCAATGTAAAGTTATATATTTTAATTAATAATACCAACCGGAATTTTAATAATATTACACTTCTTTATAGAATTGTAGTTACATTAACCCTATTATAATAATTTATAACAAATAGTTAAAGTAGTAATGTAACTTACCTAATATAATAAAATAACCTAAAAAAGAGACATTTTAAAACGTTAACCAACATAATAAGCCAACCGTTACAGTATATTAGAACTACCCCAAGCAGTAGTGGATATTCTATCAGATGATATCAATCTTTTATCATCATTACCAGAGAGAGCAATTTTGTAAACACCTCTCGTAAAGATTTCATGTTTGATGGATTTAAACAAAATATTTTTTTTACGTATTATATTCGCGTTTAAAAGTACTGATTCATAGTCACTCATATTAAGGTCGCGAATTACATATCGTCGTTGAAGTTCTAACAGCACGGAAGTCAAAAATAGCAACTTTTCAGGAGAGAGAAAAAACTGCATATTTTATTATAGATACTTTTATAATACAAATTTACTATTTGCGCATACTTAATTATAGTTTATTTAATGTAGAAACAGTAACTAATTATAAAAAAACAGTTATTAACCCAAATGTATTGACATACGTTGGGTTGTCACTTTAATATCACAAATTGACATGACATACGTCATTTTCTATAAGGAATCAAAGAACAAAAATATTACATTTAATTTTTTATTTTATTTTAATGCAATCAGTCTTTATTTTTTTAACAATATACCAATTATCAAAGTACCTGGACATTTACCCTGAACAAGTATTTTAAGTTAAATTGCACTTTTATCTTTATTATTATTCGTAAATTTACTTTGTACTTAAGGACATTGATATTAATTGACTAAATCACAAAAAATCTTACATAATATAATTATACTGAAATAATCATTATAATGTAAGTCTTAGTTAGTTAAATATTTAACATATTATAATAGTAAACAAAATGAAAATCTAAAAACTTCTTAAAAAATAAACAGCCTCAAAGTTATTATAAATATTCTCAAAAAAAACATAATTCGAAAACTTCTCATGAAATAAACTTAATAATAACACTACACAATAACAAGGTAAATATCTAGTAAAATTTGAGATCTTATTTATGTGGCAAACCATCGTAAAAGCTATGACAATCACTAGGTATGACACGTTTTAATTCTTGTAAATGGTTCCATTTAATTTGAGAAATTGGTATTCTGCTTTGGTACAACTTTGGTTTTGGCAGAATGCTTCTTGGTTTAGGTCTTTTGGGTAATAACACATAGTCGTCATTATAGCTTAGTTTATATTTTATAAGCCCTTCAGGTTCATAAAGTAATGCTCTGATATCTGTAACTACTGGGTCATTAGCTACTCTACCTGGTCGAATCGAATCATACATGAGAGATTTTGAAAAGTCGAAGAAAAAGTCATAATTTAAAAAATGTACATTGTAGGGCTTCATTGAACGAGCTTCCTTCGAAATCGATGCGTACTGCGAAGGCAGGTAGATGTCTCTGTGTTTAATTTGACATTCTATTGCACTGTGACAAGAATCTACTTCCATTTGGGTATGACCCTTTTCTAGTATTTTTTGTTCAATCTGGATGTTATACTCCATCGCCAATTCCAGCAATGCATTCGATAACACAGCATTGCGATTTTGTGCTGTGCAACCATCTGAATAAATAATTATAGGCAGCAACTTCTTAGACAGCGTTTTTTTCAGTCTACTAAGCAGGTAGTATAGACAGAAGCCACCAGGCCTGCAGTACACTCATCAAACCAATAACAGTGCACGTCTTTGTTTTCAAGATTGTAGATGGTGAAGTTGTGTACACGTAATTTCGTCTAAAATATATTGCACTGGCTTCAAGTTTAGGACACAGCTGTACCGATTGAAGATCGTGTGTAAAGACATGCACTTCTTTATTGGTTGCTCTTAATTTATCTTGAGTTTTTTCCTGTTTAGCCCTATCCATCTTTAATATATGTTCACGATATTTTTCTTCACTGTTATTCCCTACATTATGAGAACAACACAAGTCGCATTGGTCTTACTTAGGCGAAAATAGGCTTAAATTCTTTTTATTAAATATTTGATCGAACAACCATCGAGAAGCGGACTTTTCCTGCTGTTCGTTGCATTTCTCATAGTATAACTAATAAAGTTTCAATTTGCTCTGTACAACTGGTTCTAAATAAAGTTTTGTACTTGATGCCCGACAGTAGTGGAATGGCATTTTGGGTAAATCATCAAAAAACTTGTTTAGAAGGATCAAGCAGTCTTTAGATCTTTTCTCCTGAAGTGGACGTGTCACTTCTTGTTTTTTTGTCATGCCTTTTTCAGAATGTTCAATCCAATAACGCACAGAATTTTCTGTAATACCTAGAGTACTTATAAACGTTTTCATATATACTTGAACACGGCCTTGAGACTCGGTGTTTAAAAAATATTGCTTGCTTATATTTCGTCTTGAGTCGGAATCTGTCTTCTTTATTTGTTTTCTATTCCCACATTCAACATTTGAAACAACATACTGCTGCCTCAGAGACCAGTCCATTTGTTTCCAAAAAAAAGTAAAATTTTCTTGTCTTTCTGTCTCTGCTATGTTGTTACATCCACGAAGTTTGGATTTTTTTCACGCGCAGGCCGCATAACATCATGTAAAACTTTAAACTTTTCTTGTTTGCTGTCACGTCTATATCCCAAGTACTGCTCTCCTTGTAATCTTATTTTTTTGATTTTATTTTTGGTCCACTCCTTTTTGCTATGTGACTTTACTTGACCTTTAGATTTTCTTTTACGTTTAGAATTAAGATCTCCACAATATTCGTTGTTAACTCTTTTTTCGATTCCATTCGCTTCTGCAACATCAACATCTTAAATGTAATTTTGTTCATTATCACTTCCATCCAATCCATCTGTTACAACCTGAGTCGTTACATCAGGTACGATCTCGGTGCTCACTTCTTCTGGCGATATTACTCGTGTTTGGTTTTCAAGCAATTCTTCTGATTTTTGTATCATAGATGTGTCTATAACTTCTTCTGATATTATCAATGAAGAGTGATCACCTTCCCTCGATGTAGTTACAATAGTGTCAGGAATTATATCTAATTGATAGTCTGTTAAAATTTGTATTGAATTCTGTGTAACTAAATCAGAAACAGTTGTATTTTCATTGTTATCTAATATAACTATAGGTAAATTATTGTATTTAGATCCAGATTTTCAAGGTTTGAAATTGGGTGTATAGTATTCTGGGTAAGTGGTTTTTGTTTTATGTTTTTCGGGGGTACCCTTATATTTAATTCTTTGCAAAGTTCAAGTATAGTTTCATCCTCGTCACTGCTCATTTTGATTATTGTTTCTGAAAATTAAACCGAGACATTGATTAATTACCGAGTAAGTGCTTAGTGTAAGTAATAACTTACTTACACTAATTGCATTTTAGATTATATGTTGTTTAATTATTAACTAATTAACTTAAAATTTAAATTATGATCGTTTGGCGAACCAGAAAACCGTTACATAAAACACCACGTAACTCCGGATGGGCCGTAGAGCAACACCACGTAAGCCAATACACAAACTTGCAGTAACATTAATTAACTGAAATAACCTTATATCAATATGAAAATAGCAAATTTAAAAAGTAGGAATATCTAAAAAAACGAGAAATACAAACTTTCAATCATATTATTATATTTCCTTACCTCTTTTTCCATTAATTGTCAGAAGCAACCGTGCAGTACGTTACACACTATGGCACTAAGCGACTGACGTGCTGTTTCCAAATATTACGCCGATTTGTTGGATCCCATGTAGATGCTTTTTGTAAATTTCACGAGTTTCTATTGGTCAATACGTGTTTCTGATTGGCTAAAACGATGCGTGTTCCGATTCTCTAGCGAATGGCATCAAAATGTCAAAACAGCCAAAAAATGACTTCCGTGGTGTTAGAACTTCAACGACGATATGATTTGACTCCTTTAGCTTTTTTTATAACTTTATCTAAAGTTTTTATACAGTACAGTTTAGATCTTAGTCCAACAAAATCAGATATCAATTGTCCTCCCATTTCATCTTTGAATAATCCTGGTACCTTTTTATTAATTAAAGGTATTTTGAATTGATTTTCTTCATTAAAATTACTAGTATCAAAAAAATTTAAGAAAAATGTTTTCAGATCTTTATAAAAATGTAGAGTTTTTATGATGTAAATAAAACTGTCGGTGTCGGTATAGCAAAGCTTCACGCGGTCATGATAATACGGCTTAACTATATTATAACGAAAGTGGTACATATGTGCTTTAGATAGCTCTAAAACGGTAAAACCGACGTAGATGGGTTTGTCTAATAAAATTTCATCAGGTTTCATTTGTAAAGCAACCAAATTTTCTGTAAATACAGAAACGCTATGAAAATAAGGATTAGCGATTAGTTCACTAGCACTCAATCTTTTTTTAGTTTTATTACCAGTATCAGACCAATAGTTCACTAACCCCCGGTTTCAATAACCAAAAAACTATCCGTTTTTGCTACCTCCCGTAGCATTTCCTACCGATGGTAGCAAAAAAGTGTTTCAATAACATACCATTGGTAGGTAAAGCTACCGACGGTGTGCTTCTAACGGATTGAACTGATACTGATAACCGTTCGTAGGCAAAATGTATGAAAATGGCGCAAACAGGCGTTTCAATATCTTTCGGTAGAGCTGTCAAACTTAATATCCGTAGCTTATATGTCAAATTTGCCTACCGGCCATTTTCCGTCGGTTATCATAAAAATATTTATAAATGACACGTTTTTCCTAGTTAACTAATAGAAAAATAACAGTTTTTCATTAAAAAAATAATATTGTAGACGAGTTTGATGTGTTTTGTGGTTCCAATTAAAAGAATTTAAGTTGTAATCATGCCAACGTTTGTACCTTTAAGGGCTCATACTACCAAATAATCATTGCTCCAGATGCTTTCTACAATATGTTTCTGTTGATAAACTTGATGATTTACCTCTATATAATTATGAAAAACCTTGTTCTGATGAAACTGAATTTGCCACCTACTTGTACCAAACTTATACACGTTACATTAGTTTATACCCTTTATTTTTTATTAAACACTGATATTGATTTAATTTTTAATAAAACCCAATTTGGATATAACTTATTTATTTTACAAATAAAAAACAATTCATAAAAAACTACATATTTTTTACATTATTCCATTGCATTTTTCTACGTTTGTTTTACGATTCGATATAATTATTCCACTTTTTCTAATAACCATTCATTTATCATCCTATGTCAATGGATCACAATTGTTCACTGTCAAATTCATTAATGTTATCTTGCAAATTCAATATGTATAGTACAAATCACTTTATACAATTAACAATTTATAATAAAGGTGAAATCTATATATAATTCCCGCTAAGCTTCTACGGAACATAAATCAACTTTACTTTTTGGCATAATTAAAGGCAAAGGGATATAGCACATACAACCTAGTCTAGAGTGACAATATTCACATTGAGGTTCACTTGAACGTTTTAAATGCTTTTTTTGAGCAAAAATTGAAATATATTAGAAAATGGTGAGGTATGTTAAAGTAACACGTTCGCGTTCTTGTACCTACTAAATTGACAAAACACTGCTCATACCCATGCACCGTACCATTTCAATGAACTGTGTATTGCACACGTTTATTTATATTCCGAAATTTAATTCGAGATAAAAAAAACTTATATAAACAAATTATGTTATTTTAGGGGTTGCAAACATTTTCCAAAAGGTTCTAATTATAATTTTATTTTTGCAAATAATAATACGGAAATAAGATGTATAGTCTTATTTTTTATCGACTTCAATGAAAGAGAAGGTCTCTCATTCAAGTGTAACTAATTTTGTATAACAATGTGGGGATAAAAATGTAAGATTTGTTGACATTAGCCTATAAGAATTTCATTACTTTTTCAATTTTAAGTACTTTAAATTGTAAATCAATATCGAATGAAATACTTGTACAGTAGGTGGCAAATTCAGTTACGTCAGAACCAGGTTTTTCATAATTATATAGAGGTAAATCATTATGTTTTTCAAAAGAAACATATTGTAAAAAGCATCTGGACCAATAATTAATTGGTAGTAAGAGCCCTTTAAGGTACAAACATTGACATGATTACAACTTAAATTCTTCTAATCTGAACTACAAAACACATTAAGCTCTTCTACAATATTATTTTTTTAATGAAAAACTGTTACTTTTCTTTTAATTGACAAGAGAAAACGTGTTATTTATAAATATTTTTACGATAAATCATACTAAATAAAAAAAAAGTTTGATTCAATTAGCCAAATGTTCCGAATCGCTGTTTCTTGCCTGCAGCATAAAATATTTCTATCCTATTTTTATCTAAAAAAAGGATTTTTAGTTGAAGTAAAAAAATTACTAAAAACTTTAAAGAGATAAATTTAAGCTATTTGTTGTAATGGTAACTCTTTTCTTTACATTGGAATTCCAATTCAGACGATAATTTGTTTCACAATAACACCACTTTTAAGAACCTAACCATATAATAAATAAGTCATAATAATTCCAAAACTTAAATTTAGTTTCGGTACGCAATCAGTTCACCTCTTTCCTATTGATGTCTCTGTCTTCCTTCTTACGATTTCGATTTTGTCCAAGAAATTATTAAATGTTAAAGACCAACATTTCAGTATAATCATAATTTTACCTAAGACAAGGCTGTATAAAAAGAACCCTTTTCCTCGAATTATATGATTACAATTTTAAAAAATGAGCTACCGACAACCTTTCGTAGTTGGTAGGCGCCTACCGATGATTGTGAAACGCAAAAACGAATGGTTGTCGGTAGCTCAAAAAACGGTCGGTAGCTGCTACCGATGGTTGTCAGTATATTATTGAAACCGGGGGTAAATGTACATTTACACGAGCTTCATTATTTTCTAACGTTTTCCCAAACACCGAGTTGTTCAAGAGCTTAAAAAAATCTTGTTCAAAGGTGGATTCTGCCTTTTGACGCAAACGTGTATTCAATTCTATATACTTTTTTAGATACGCACTTTGTCTAAATGTAATAGCTCGATGAATTTTGCGTAGTTGAAATCCATGTTCAAAACATTTTTTTAAGTGTACATAATGAATGACATAATTATACTTATTGTATAAATTAGGTATCAGTTTCTTATTTTTACCGCCCGGTGGAATGAATTTTTCAGGACAGAATGGTAAATCATTATGATAATGATGCAAGTGTTCAGGATAAAGCAAGTTCACTTCAAGAATATATCCGTTTTCTGCGTTATCATCTATGGATAAAACGTTTAACTCCTCTATTTCATTATTATTTAAAAATCTAAAGTTAGAGTAAGGTAGTGATAGACTCATACTGTAACCATATAAATTATTACAGTCTAAATAAACTATAAAAGAGTCTTCTTCAGAGGGATCATAGTCAGGCATGTATTTGTTATTTACCTTACCATAACGGTGGGAACACATACACACTCCCCCTCGTATTCCTTTTTGTATCATACGAATCATTGATAAATCATCGAGGAGCTAAAGTTGAACACATGTTTTCAAAAACATTGCATCAAATGATAGACTGGGCGCAGTAACATAAAAGGCAGGATCAAGTTCGTAATGACATTTACATGTTCTGCGAAACTTAAAAAATGTCAAATGGCCAATTTAAAAACAAGTGCAATGAGCTACCCTTCCCCCCGCGTCGCAAATGTACAACGGCGACAGAGGGGAAAAAGTTCAACAACTACGTGTTACGGATTTGTCACGCATGCTCACCAAGACCGGACGGAGGAAAAAGAATGTAGTGATGAGGTAAACGATATGTACCGTAACTATCGACACATTTGATATCCGATATGGAAGTATTACATAAATTATATATTAAAGGGTTTAAAGATTATTTATTCTTTTTGTAAAATGTCTGTGTTAATTTAATAATGAAGTTAAAGAGCAATGGATATTTGATTTTTGAATATAACTTTTTCAGATTTGTGTTAAAGGAAGTGTCATATGCAATTTTAATGGCTTTATTTTGTATTGTTTGTAGTAGATCATAATTAGTTAAACATGTACTACTCCACACCGGACAAGCATATGTTATACACGACCTAACAAGGGCCGAATATATTTTTAATTTAATTTTAGGATTAAGTATACTTTTATGATTTAAAATAGGCTTTAAGGCACCCAGTGCTTGAGCACCCTTGATGCGTAAAGTCCATATATGTTTGGACCAATTAAGTTTATTGTCCATTGTGACCCCGAGGTACTTAACTGAGTTACTCCAAGGTATACAATGTCCTGCTATCTTTAGTGTTCTTTTTGGAGGACAACGATAACGGGTAAACACAATGGCTTCCGTTTTCGTTGCGTTTAGCTTAAGCTTCCATTTAACAAAATAGGATTGCAATAAATCTATTGAGAATTGCAATCGACCCACAATGAGATCAAGATCTTTCGCTGAGGTGTAAGATGCAGTATCATCGGCATAACAGGCCAGATGTGTACGAGATTGTTTAGGTATATCATTTAAATATAACAGGAATAGGTAAGGGCCCAAAATCGACCCCTGCGGGACACCAGCGGGAACACTTTGCAATGATGACTTGGAGACACCTATATGAACTCTAAATTTGCGATCTTTCAGATACGATAAAATCAATTTTATTAATGCTATTGGTATTCCAATTTTCAAAAGCTTAAAAATAAGACCGTTATGCCAAACGGTATCAAAAGCCTTTTCGATATCTAAAAGGAACATCCCTGTTGATTCTCCATTAATTAGGTGGTTAGAAATGTGCTCAGTAACTCTAACAAGTTATTGAGTAGTTGAATGAGAGGATCGAAAACCAAATTGTTCACAAATGAGAAGATGTTTAGATGTATTTAATAACCGGGTAAAAACAAGTTTTTCAAAGAGTTTGCCTAGGGATGGTAAGAGACTGATAGGACGATAGTTTACTGGCACAGTTGCATCCTTACCAGGTTTCTTTATAGGAATGACTTTAGCAACTTTCCATGCCTTAGGAAAGTATCCACTGTAAAGACAACCATTAAATATTTTAGTGAGAAATATTACTGCCTTTTGTGAAAGATTCTTAAGAAAAAAATTATGGATATTATCGTCACCTGCAGCTTTACGTGTTTTCAGTGAATTAAGTGTTTTACGTATTTCGGCTGGGCGTACTGGTTGATTTAATTCGGTTATTTGATAGTTGTTAACTGTGAATAAACTGTTGTAGACTTCATCATTAAGATCTTTGTTTGACCAATTTAAGGTAAGCTCCATATTCTCGTGGAACACTAAAGCAAGTGCATCACATTTTTGTTCAGTGTTCAGTTCAGTTCAGTTCGTAATGACATTTATGTTCTGCGAAACTTTTCAAATATATCCGTTAGTAAAAGTACGTCTGTTTTTAAGTATAAATCGGTATAAGCGCCTAAATCTCTTAATTTGAAAATTGACCAAACAGCTTCAGCGTGTTTATAGTCATCTTCAGAAATATGTTCATTAGTAAGGGAATTAAAAAAGCATGATTTAGAAGGTAACGACTTTTCTGAGTATCGATCTAAATTATTCATATAATCGTAAGAGTACACTCCTTTTCTAGTTAACAAATCAAATTGCTTAATGTTTGGGAAATGAGAACGTAAACAGTGAAAATCATCTTTTTTCATAGTTTTGGCTAGTTAAACTTAAATGAATCTGTGAAACGTAATTGTATAAATTCACCATTAGACATTGATAAAAACTTGATAAACGAAATATAGTTTTCTTTAGTTTTCGCTATAACTTTTACCTTGCCAGGCATTTCACCTAACTCTTTTATAAAAAGGTGACAATCATAGCCAGATAAATTATGAAAAAATATAGGAATAAATTGAGGAGTTTTGTAACGCAAATTACAAATTTGATGAGCCGCTCCGCGATACAGACCGGTAACATGACAGTGATCGCGTACTTTATCGCTCCACAGTAGATGGTTACAAATGTGACAGCTCGAGGCTTTGTTAAAGTTTTCCTCGTCTAACTCGGTAAAAATCATCGGTTTGGTAGAATTTAAAATATCATAGATTTTTTTTGCTTGAATATGAACTAATTTAACGAACTTCGTAACACAGTCATGACCACGATATGAAATAAATTGATTTTTCGAGGCGTCAAAGGAACAGACAACATTATATGCGAATGCAATTGGTATGTGTCGCTGTAAGTCGGTAGTACCCGCAAAGTTTGGATTTGATTCACACCCCGATACTGGCTGTAACATAGTTTCGAAATCAGCGTAAATTACAAAAGGTATATTTTGCTTGCGATCGAAATTTTTAAATAATAAAACAGAACCTTTTTCAGGTAAAAAAGTAACAACTCCCCTGCAAACATTTTTTTTTCATTTATTTTGGCATCAAACAGTCATGTAAAATAACAATAATTTCACAAACAGTAATGACTAAAAAGACCTACAGTGCCCAAGTTTAGTACAAACAAAATGTTTTCATGTTTAAACGTGATCAGACAAATATTCATGTAGTAATAAAAAACAAAATGCAAGTGATTACAACAAAAATCAAATCAGAGAAGACGATAATAATTTTTTTATTTTTTACTTTAGGTTAAATTTCTTTGAAGTTCTTTTTTAATATTCTTCAGAGATGTGTTAAATAAATCTATGTTTGACAGTTTCTTATTATACATAGTGGTGGAACGATAAAAGAATGCGTTTTGGGTATAATTTTTCCTGCGACGCGGAGGAACAAACAGAGGTAGTGTACGTGAGGAGCGTATAGGGAGACGAGTTCGACCGGAAAATTGAACATCTGCGCAAGAAGCTCTGACGAGTCGATAAATGAGTGTAAAATCTTATAAAGAAAAACTGTATCAAACATAACGCGGTGATTGCGAAGAGTAAGCAAGTTACATTTATTCAGTGCTTCATTGTATGTCATGTTACTGCTGTTATTTCTATGATTAAGGGATTTCAAGAATTTCTTTTGAACTCTTTCGATTCTGTTAACGTGAATATTATAACAGGGGTTCCAAACAGTACTACAGAAATCAAGGATAGAGCGAACAAAAGAAAAATAAAGTATCTTTAGCGTGTCTGTATTTTTAAAAGGTTTGCTAATCCTAAGAACGAAACCCAACCTGCGAAAAGCGGCACCAACAATATGGTCTACGTGATAGTTAAATGCAAGATTCGAGTCCATTATGATCCCCAAGTCTCTGATATGGGTCACTCGTTCGACAATGTTGTTATTCATACAATAATCAAAGTTAACTTTATTCTGATTTCGCGTGTAAGAGATGACGTGACACTTATTGATATTTAAGAAAAGTTGGTTTTTGAGACAATAGGCACACAGCGCACTCACATCTTCTTGTAACCTAAGGCAATCGTCACGACAAGTCACAATTTTATATAATTTTGTATCATCTGCATAAAGCAAGTGACGGCTGTAATTAAAGGTATTGCCGATGTCATTAATGTAAAAAGAGAACAAAAGTGGACCCAAATGCGAGCCCTGCGGGAGCCCGGATGGAATTGGAAGAAATTGTGACCGATACCCTTTGATGCAAACCGCTTGGCTTCTGTTTCTGATGTAGGATTCGATCCATCGAAGTAGGTTACCATGCACTCCGGCTTCTGCAAGCTTTCTTATAAGGATATTATGATTTATTTTATCGAAAGCTCTCGAAAAATCTGTATACACGACATCCACCTGTAAATTTATATCCATTGCCTGCGCTAGAAATTCAGTAAAAGTGATCATGTTACTGTCTACGCTTCTATTTTTATAAAAGCCATGTTGTTGAGGTGAAATAAAATTACGGGCTGCTAATGCCAAATCTGTAGTAACCATTTTTTCAAGAATTTTACCAAAGATGCATAATTTTGAAATGGGTCGATATTCTGTTACTAGATGTTTTTGATTGTTTTTTGGAATTGGGGTCACTAAAGCCGCTTTCCACTTAGAGGGGAAAATCTCAAATTCTAAAGATTTTTGAAAAATTATAGTGAGAGGAACAGCGAGTTCTTCAGCGCAATTACGAACCAGAATGGGGTGAATATTATCAGAACCAGCTCCCTTATGTATATTAACTTGTTTTAATTCTTTTTGAACACGATCAATAGTTATATTGACTGAATTAATATCTAACGTAGATTGAGCGTTACATTTGGAAGGATAATGACTTTCGTGAGATGACACAAATACTGAATTGAAATACTGATTGAAACCATCGCAAATTTCAGTTCCAGTTGTTAAAGTTTTGTCGTTGTATAACATTCTAGCAGGAAAATCGCCATTTGCCTTCTTAGATTTTACAAAAGACCAAAATAATTTAGGATTCGATCTTATGTTGAACTCTGATGATTCAATGAATCGATTAAAGCAGTACGCGGACATTTTTTCAAAACGATTCCTTGATTTTGAATAATTTTCATAATCGATTTGG